AGTCGGGCGCGGGCGACGCTGGCGATGGCGCCCCCTCGAGCAGGGAGGGCGCGAGCGTCGCCCCATCTACCACATCGACCGGCACGGCCGATGCGGGCGGCGGCGAGGACGACCGCCACAGCAGCGGTAGCGGTGGCAGCGGCGGCGATGACGGCGGCAGCGACAGCAGTAGTGGCAGCGACAGCGAGACGGATCGCCCAGCGCTCCGTGGGCCAGAGGCCCGGCGGCTCGCCCGCTTCAACAAGCCGGCNACAGCAGCGGTAGCGGTGGCAGCGGCGGCGATGACGGCGGCAGCGACAGCAGTAGTGGCAGCGACAGCGAGACGGATCGCCCAGCGCTCCGTGGGCCAGAGGCCCGGCGGCTCGCCCGCTTCAACAAGCCGGCGGTACCAGCCGCTGCACTAGGGAGAACCCTCGCCGAAACCCGAGGTACGAGTCGCCCCCGTCGCCGACAAGGGCCGAAGCCCTGATCATCTCGGCGGCGAGCCTGCCCGTCAGCAGCACGGAGGACTTCACCAGCTGGATGCTCTCGGCGGTACTTCACGTGGCAGAGTGGCAGAAGGGCTAGAGGCAAGGGCGGTGCGAGAGTTGCTTTTCGAGCGCGCGGAGGATGCCCACGCTGCGCGCCAAGAGGCGGAGGACTTCCTGCTGGGTACGGTGGACCTCATGCTCAACTCGCCAGACGCCTTCGAGACGGCTCTGACGTCCCACGAGCAAAGTGAATCTCCCATCGGCAAGCGTCCGAGTGATGTAGAACACCCCCCTATGACCATAGCTGACTTTGCCAAGTCTGTGTACAGAGAACGGTGCGAACAGGCCATGAGGAAAGAGTTTGAAGGGCACTTGGGCACGGGGACGTTTTCATGCGTAGACGGTGCGCCAGAGGGGCGCAGGCCTGTGAGCTCCAAGTGGTGTTTTAGTTGGAAGACCAACAAGGAAGGGAAGATAGACACCTTCAATGCGCGTCTGGTTGCTAGGGGGTTTTCACAAATCCCGAACGTCGATTATTTCCATTCGTCTTCCCCTTGCCCCTCATCCGCATCCATTAAGCTGATGCTTGCGGTAGCGAACGAGAAGGGCATGAACCTCAATCACTGGGATGTGAAGCAGGCGTATACACACGCCACGCAAGACGAGGAGGTTTTCCTGAGGCTTCCCGCTGGGTGCGGGAAAAAATAGCAAAAGATTGTTAAGGCTGAGCGTGCGATTTATGGTCTGAAGCAGAGCGNGTGCTTGCGGTATCAAACGAGAAGGGCATGAACCTCAATCACTGGGATGTGGAGCAGGCGTATACACACGCCACGCAAGACGAGGAGGTTTTCCTGAGGCTTCCCGCTGGGTGCGGGAAAAAATAGCAAAAGATTGTTAAGGCTGAGCGTGCGATTTATGGTCTGAAGCAGAGCGGTAGGCAGTTTGGGTACCACGCTGCTGATACACAAGTCGAGAACGGGTTCGAGCAGTGCAAGGCGGACCCGTGTGTTTTCCGCAAGATGGTAGACGAAGTCGTGGTGATGATTATCGTGATTTATGTGGATGACATTTTGGTGGCTGGGTCTGACGAGGATTGCGAGGAGCTGCTTGCTTCTCTCAACAAGATGTTCCCCACCAAAAATCTGGGAGAATGCGAATGGTTTGACGGGTGTGCCATCGAGAGAGATGTAGAGGCTGGGACTCTTAGAATCTCCCAAACCGCGTATATCGACAGCATGGTTGAACGCTTCGATGTGAAATCAACTTCCCGCATCCCCGCTACCCCTGGTGCCGATCTAGGGCCGAAGCGAGAGGATGAGGAAGGAGGGGAGTGGCCGGTGAGGGAGGCCATCGGCAGCATGATGTGGGTGTCGACATTCTCACGTCCAGACGTCTCGTTCGCCGTGCGTGCGGTAGTGCGCCACGCCCACGCCCCGGCGAAGCGGCACTGGGATGCCATACAGAAGATCCTCGGCTACCTGAAAGGGACGAGGGACCTCGGCATCACCTACCAACGGGGATCGGGGTTAGGGCTTGCCGTGTACGTAGACGCTAGCTACGCCGACACGGAGGATAGGCGTTCGGTGTCAGGGTTGGCGACGACGGTCGGAGGTACCGTAGTCAGCCATGGTAGCAAGACACAGAGCATCGTGTCTTTGTCTTCGACGGAAGCCGAGTACATTGCTGCCGGGGAGGGCGTCAAGGAGGCGTTGTTTGTGCGTGCTGTGCTTTCGTTTGTTGCCCCAGAGGCCAGTGGTAGCAGCATCCAGGTCCTTGAGGACAACCAGGGGGCCGTAGCGTTGGTGCAGAACGCCCTCAGCTCAGGTCGCACGAAACACATCGACGTGAGGNTACGGAGGATAAGCGTTCGGTGTCAGAGATGGCGACGACGGTTGGAGGTACCGTAGTCAGCCATGGTAGCAAGACACAGNGGGCTACCAGAAAGAGACGAGGGACCTCGGCATCACCTACCAACGGGGATCGGGGTTAGGGCTGGCCGTGTACGTAGACGCTAGGTACGCCGATACGGAGGATAAGCGTTCGGTGTCAGAGATGGCGACGACGGTTGGAGGTACCGTAGTCAGCCATGGTAGCAAGACACAGAGCATCGTGTCTCTGTCTTCGACGGAAGCCGAGTACTTTGCTGCCGGGGAGGGCGTCAAGGAGGCGTTGTTTGTGCGTGCTGTGCTTTCGTTTGTTGCCCCAGAGGCCAGTGGTAGCAGCATCCAGGTCCTTGAGGACAACCAGGGGGCCGTAGCGTTGGTGCAGAACGCCCTCAGCTCAGGTCGCACGAAACACATCGACGTGAGATCCCATTTCATCCGCGGATTGTTTAGGTCGGGGGATATTTCGGTCAAGTTCGTTCCGACAACGGAGCAACACGCGGACCTCCTAACCAAGGCCCGTAGCAGGGCCAATCTGCAGTACCACCGGCCCAAGTTGATGAATTTGCCGGAGTAGCTGTAGCAGTTTCTAGCACTTGGGAGAGGCCATGTTTTCCATGCGGGGAAAGGCGCACAACTGTTGCGGTCTGTGTACCAATGGCAGGAGTAAGGGACGTTGGAGACCACCGTCCGGGGGAACGTAGTTCCTCGTGTTCTTGGCTTCGCCTTGGTCTTTCTAATAAGTGCGGCAGTTGTGATCCGCTGTGATAGTGACGGTTTTTGTGGTGGTTTTTTTTTTAGGGGTTTTGCCCGGACACCGGGTTTGTTTCTCGATATATTACCATGATTGTATTTTCTGATGTATCGAGGGGCGTTCTTGCCCCATTGATGGTTAATCACTTGCGTGAAGAACCAGGGAGGGTGGTCGTGGGTCTGCGAACATTGGTGTTGGATACATGTGCTGGATATTTGGGGTCACGCAGACTGGTAAAATTGCCGTTTGATAGGGGGCACCGCGATGATTCACGGGGCCCCTCCTTGCTGTGGGAGCCGCTCTCTAAGCGCTTCCGCTTTCGTCAGTGTGAAGGACAGTCTTAGACCTCTCGTGAAGTTAATACATCACCAAAACAGTCTCACTCGATAAATATGTGGCGTAGGCCGCAAAACACCTAATAGCATATACGCACAGCTGCTTGTAGGTCATCCATGCATTGGCGAAACAGGTGGTCCCGGGTCCCCGTTATGTAGTACACCGGGTGAGTTTCGCACTTCTCCGGATGGACGCAGACCAAAGAGTTGTCCGCGTCAGACCGAATATGATCCCCACGCTGCCGGTAGTCGTGATTCGTCTTCGTTAGGTTCGGAAAAGGCTGGGTGTGCTCGGCAAAACTCTGCTCCCGGCCACATGCCATTGGGGACTTTTTCTGCAAATTGTCCGACCTCTCCTTGCTCGTCCCTGACCTGTATGGACAGGCGAACGAACGTGGCAAATGTGAATGCTTGTTACCCACGGGCGAACGCTTGTTATGCAGCCGATTCAGGGCTTCAGTTTAACGGCTACCCTGCGTGATTGTTATCTCGTCACTCGCTATGAACACGTGAGTTATCACCACCAAGAGTCAAGGAACAACGGTGGAAGTCTACCACCTATTCGACCGATTAGTAAGATATGCGGGTGCTGCACTGAAAAGCGGGCACAACACGACCGTACCGTATCGACCGGGGTATGTATCGTGGAGGTTGCCCCGCCCAAATGAAGGTGGCAATATTTCGGTGATATCTTACGTAATATTCGGTCGAGAAGGTTGATTTGGCACACTGGCCGTCGCACAAGCCTTACGCACTTACAATTTCGACATGTCGCCGTCTGCGAGAGCCGTCTCTCTCGGTGCCTTTGCCTCGTTGAATGCAGCCCGGCTCAGAGAACCTCCGACGAACTCACACGCGGTCGAGTATTTCACATGGTTGGAGGCGATCGCACCAAGGATGGCCCGTCGCGCTTTGTATCCAGGCAAGGTCGCTACGACGTGGGGCTGATTAACATTGGCCCAGATTTCCGTGATGGCTTCAACGGGCTTGTCGTTGCGGGTGCTTGCGGGAGACGGATCTTGTTCGATCAGTCGACCACCGAAGTGAGACACGACACTCTTGGACGCCAATGTTCTAAAGCCTTTGTGGCTTCCCGAACGCCCTGACCGCTTTTTTACACTCTTTCCTCAGCACTTTATCCACGCGTTTGTTGACATTCTTTTTGAACCTGAACTTCTGGGTGGGCTCAAATTGCCTTGCCACACTGAAGAAAACCGAGATCGAGGCGCCGCGTCGGGGGTTGTGAAATAGAGGGTTGGTAAACGTACTGTCAGAGCTGAAAACATACAGCATTTCCAGGATCAACCATGCACACCAGAGTCCACACACACGGAGGTGACAATTGCCACAACCACACAAGTGCGATGGTTGGGCCTGCGACAGGGAGAGCCCATGGGTATTTTGAGGTATTAGTTGCTAGAGACCTGTTCGGCCGAGGAGCTCCCTATATCCGAACACAATGGACCGAGCGCTTGCCCGGTGTTGTGCGGCAGGTATTCCCCAAGTTTTTTTCGACGCACCCGCTTATAGCATGACCTTGACCCGGAGCGCTACTAGTTTATACCGGCACTTCTTGCGCAACACATTTTTTTTCCTGGGTGCGATTTTTTCTGGTCTTGTGTGTGTACTGGAGAGGGTGGTCGGAGTTTCGGGTGAGGGTCCGCGGAGTATTTATTTCCAACGCATACATGAGACTCAAGTCCTCGATTTGGCTGTGACCGATACTGTCAACCTCCTCGACACGTGTCGGCGTAGTTTGGAAAACCCTGATGCATAGCGTGTTTTGAAATCCCCGGAGGTGTGCACCTGACCGGGCGCGATGGTCCGAACTGACACCGAGAGAGCCCAAGTATATGTTGAGGTGTTGTTTCATGTGGAGATCTCCTCGATGTATCTGGGAAACCGCATTGGGATGTGGACCAGCCTGCGACAGCGTGTTCCCACGGCTCTCTTGACGTTATTATCGCTTTGTGGACTCTTCCTCGGCCGAGGGGCGTCGAGTTGACATCCCATTAGCCTTGCCCGACACTTTGTTCTTGGTGCGGTCAATGTTGTTCGTAAGGGTACACTGCGGATCGTGACAAAGTTTCGGAAACAGTTTATCGAATGTCCTTCAGTTCGGATGCATTTATTTTAGGAACCTCATGTCTTCGGCCGATTAGCGAGAACCGATCGTATCAGTGACTTTACTAATTTTCACATGGCCCATATCGTACGACAGCGTATTCCATGGGCTCTGTGAATCTTCCTCGGTCGAGGAGCAACGAGTTGATATCGGATTAGCCTTGTCCGACACTTTATTCTCGGTGCGGTCAATGTTGTTCGTTATATGCTACTCAGGATCCACGACGAAGTTTCGGAAACAGATTATCGAGTGTCCTTCACCTCGGATTCATGTAGTCTAGATCTAGATGTGAACGCCATGTCCTCGGCCGATTAACGAGAACCGAACGTATCAGTCCCTTATTCTTGTACATCGCCCATGCCTGGGCTCCCATTGGTACGATGGACCAGACCATGGCCCGGTGTGTGACAGGGTGTCCCCTGGGATCAGTTGACCTTGGTACTTACTGGCGCTTCGTGGACTTCCTCGGCCGAGGAGGAACAAATTGATATCGGGTTGGATATCAGCCTTGTCCGACATCCTTTGTTCTTGGCGCGACCAATCTTGTTCGTTTGGATGCTGCGGATCCGCGACAAAGTTTCTGCTGCGATTGATCGCGTGTCCTTCAATTCGTGTATATGATGAACCCCATGTCCTCGGCCGATTAGCGAGAGGCGATCTTATCGACCCCCTTCACCTTGAATGGGGAGAACTTTGCAACCCAACAAATGGTCGTTCGTTGTGAGATACGTGGGGGGGTGGCAAGAGGTTGCCATCCCCTGGTGTATTGAGAGAACGCAATAATCGTTCAAAACGCACGCACACCAGGTGAGTGGGCTTTATGATCGCTAGACATGGGTCGCCGATTCGAAGATCGGTCTAAATGTTTCTCCAAAGGGTCAATGCGACCAGGTCGCTACTCGATGGTTCAAGACTGAAAATGCAAATATCATTCCAAACCGTGCTGGAAACACTTTCCAGGTGGCGCGGATGGTTGATAATTTCCAGACCGAAAATATATAAATCCTGTAGGTGAGCCTCGCGTGGTCTGTGGGGCTACGGCCATATTCCGTTCAAACTAGCAACAAGGTCCGTGTAGCGTGATGGTCGGCTACAAGTTTGGCCGGCGTGTTCCCCGGCCGTCTGCTTTTGTTAAGAGAATATGTCGGAATGAATAATGTGCGCTGAATGAAGCCAGATTCATTCACACGGTGTGAGGGTCTGCAAAAGTGCTCATCGATAGCCGTGTACTTGAGGCTGCAACCAAGTACTTTACGATCGCTAGACATCGGTCGTCGATTCGAAGATCGGTCTAAATGCTCCTCCAACGGGTCAATGCGACCAGGTCGCTGCTCGATGGTTCGAAACTGAAAATGCAAACATATTTCGAAATCGTTCTGAAAACACTTGTAACAACATATTCGCCTGATTGAGAGCGTAGCATCTGATTGAGAGCGAGATTGCGCGATACGCTGTAGCCGGACTACCACTGAGAGGTGGAGCTTGCTGTGTAGCTTGAATTGAAGGGCTAGCCCGTAGCTTCAAGCCGCTACCCTGGTCATCCTGTGGGAGTCTCTCGTTGTGGAGCTACAGCGGGGAGCAGAAGCTACAGCAGAGCCCAC